CAATCATATTCATTGAATCACATGGCGAAGAGAAGATGAAAGAAACGAAGTCTCACCTGTAATAGTCAATAATCGTAGTGTGCACGCTTACACGTGAGGAGGAGATCAAGGGGATGAACGCGTGAGGAATGCTAGCGCAAATGTCTGGATCGGTGGATTCTTAGTCCCATCTAAGTATCTAACCCTAACTAATCTGCTCTAAAACAAAGACGGAGACGTTAAGTTTTAAACATGGACAGGATGGTATAAGACTGAAGTTAACGAATAGGGGTTTCATTAACGGAAGCTGCAGGTATAGAGCAATGAAGGAACAAGAGCTGTACAATGCCCTCTCAATAATGTACAACTCTATATAGCTTTACTATTACACCAACACATTTTTATTCCCAAAAGGGTATTAACCCTCATTCACCATTATAATATTTTAGATACTTCAGGGCCACTGATTCTTGTAGCCCTACTTTCAGGGGCAGAGCTACTGGGGGTAAAGGGGGTCAGCCGACCCCGCTGAAAATTTTAGAGTGTAGAGCTCTGAAATATCTTCGATTTGATATACTATGGCTCTCGTAACTCATTACGAGTAAAAAGTTATGACTTCTGCAAAATCTGCACTATTTAAGTTTGAAATTAGTAAAATTGTGATGCGTAATATTAATTATATTCACAAAATAGAGTGTAATTCACTCGTTACTTACGTGACATGATTTAGGGACAGAGCAAATACAACATATCTTACTGCTAGAGTGTCTACTCAATAAATGATTCTTTTCTAGTAAGAAATCTTGATACTAAACCGAGTAAGATCGAAGAGAACCATAGAGTACTAGGGTAAGACAATGGGTCCCATCCGAGGTACTCAACTCAACCTGTATAAAACAATTTTATACTATATGTTACATATACGAAGTATATTAACTACATATACTCTATTAATTTCATTTAAACTATCATTTATCTAAGCTACATTCAATTCGGGTATTGTCTAAAAATAATCTACCGTTTTGATTCTATGTAAATTTGATTTCGACCCCACTGAGTCATTTTTCTGGCTCCGCCCCTACCTACTTTTGCTTAATTCTTGCAACCTAGCTAGTGAAAAGATAATTTATAGGTTAATACAGACTAGTTAGACTTCGACATTATTTTTCTGATTGCCAACATAATTAGACATAATAACTGCATCATTTGGTATAAAGTAGCCTTTACTCATGAATAAAATATATTCTAATTTATTGTTTATATCTATTACTACCTCCGTCCTGCTAAGATTGTCCCATTTTACCTTTTCGGTCCGTCCCACTAAGATTGTCCCATACCAAATTAGGCAAAATTTGTGTGGCTCCAAAGTACTCTTACTTTATTCTTACTTTATCAATTCAATATCAACACATAACTCTCTTTTTATTAGTTTGCGTGCCACTCTCTCTTGTTTCATTGTTAGCGGGACGGAGGGAGTATCATTTTGTCTAGGGAATCACAATGAGCATGACTGACTTTTCAAGCTTGAACTATACATTTATACTCCCTCCGTACCAATATAAAAGGCACATATTTCTTTGGGAAAACTGTCAAATAGGTGCTCAAACTTTCATGAAAAGGTCAATTAAGTCCTTCTATAGGAGGTTCTGTCCGGCCGTCGCGATTTGGGGCAGTTCCCGATGGAATTTTTTGATGAAATTTTTTGAGCATCTTATTCACCAAGTCTAGTTTATTCATACCAAATTTCAGCTAAAAATTAAATCGGGAACACATTCAAATTAATTCTTGAAGATAACTGCGCATTTTTGCGTTCTCGAATGAATTTGAATGCGCTCCCGATTAAATTTTTAGCTGAAATTTGGTATGAGTAAACTAGACTTGATGAATAAGATACTCAAAAAATTTTATCAAAAAATTCCACCGGGAACCACCCCAAATCGCGAAGACCGGACAGAGTCTCCTATAGAAGGACTTATTGATTTTTTTATGAAAGTTCGAGGACTTATTTGACAGTTTTCCCTATCTCTTTTTGGGCCGTACCAATATAAAAGACACATTTCCCTTTTTGGCAAACAAAACAGTACAAAACAGTGCAAAACAGTGTTTCTCCTAAAAATGTTTGAAAAAGAAAATATGCTCTTTATATTGGGATGGAGGGAGTATAATATACGGACACTACTACATTTAAAGGTCTTTTGCAACGCCCAAATGTGTTACAATAGGTCCAAAAGTCTGTTACCATTATATTAAATGTAACAGTTTTCATCGTTACCTACGCTCGCGTTACCATAGCTCTAATGTAACGTTATGTAACGATTACGAAACCAACTGTAACACTTTTCCTAACTCTTAGCAAGTGTTACAATATTAATAAAACCGTTACAACAGAGTGCAAATGTAACAGTTTTTTATTTGAACGAATGTAACACTACAAAGGGAAAATGTAACACTTTTTTTATGTGTTGATCTATCACATAATGTAACAGACGTGTATATATATGTATACATATATATATATATATATATGTATACATATATATATACACACATATTATACATATACACACATTCATTTATATGTACACGCAAACATAATTCTCCCTAAAACTTTTTTATATTATAAAAAGCCAAAAAGACATAATTCCATAATGTAATTTCTAATTAAAAGTACATTGTATCAATTTAGAACATCCCGGAGTCCATTCAATTAATATGATAACTAACAAGCACATGACCGAAATACAGAATCGACCAAACTGCACTGGAATTCAATCTACGGACAAAAAAAAACTGCAACAATATTCCACCAATTAGTCAATTGGAATCAAACTGTCAAGTCTTGGTTCTTCTTTAGCAAACTACATAAAATTGATTGTTTTCTTGATAAAAGAACTTCATCCCTAATGAAGAAGCATTCCAAGTTTTCAACAAGAAGACTGTGCATCATCGAGTTGCATCATTCAAGCTGTTGTAGTTCATCCTCATCATCAAGTTCATCATTTGCCTGTAAAATAAACAGTTGAAATAATTATCTCACCTATTCCACACATTTTTTTGCAAACTTCACATCTTCATCAAAATAATAATAACAATCCAAATGATGTGAACTGAAATAATCAGCTCTATCTTCACCAATATTTCTTGCATATATGGTATTCATAACATAAGTACATATTCAAAGTAATTCCTAATAATAATAATCAATGTTCTGAAATTTGCTAGGCGCTAGTTGGGCGGCCAAGCACCGCCTAGCGTCTAGGGCGACTAGGCGTCGACTAATCGCCAACTAGGCGGCCAACTCGGTTTCAACATAATACCAAAAAATAAAGATATTCTTGGCAAAAAATACTACATCAAACAAATAAAGTTTAAAGTTTAAACACAATAAACATTTTGCATATTCCCTAGTATAATAATTAATAATAAGTTAGGACTGCTTGATTTACAATAATTAGAATTTAGGAGGTTTTCTTTCAATAATTTTCACTGATTTGTTCCTTTAATCATTTAGATGGAGATGTAATCCTCCATGCTACTGCATTCTTTATACTCCATAGCACAAAAGGGAAATGAAAGTTCCAATTAAATAAAACCAACAAAGCTTTGTATCACTTTAGTAAAAAGGTCTGAGCAGAAAAGTTAAGCAAGGGTAAGACCAATTAATTTCTTAACAATTAGAAATTTAGCATTAACCAAACAGAGAAGAAACTTTGTACATCATCAATTACGAGCAGTACCATATCCAACTTTCAAAATGTTAATAACTCCTTTTTCCCTGAAGTTCAAATAAAATAAAGCCATTAAGACAACACAACTAAGAATATCAGGAAAAATCTTGTTTTGCAAAAGAAAAACCATGTTGGTTTGATGTCTAATTTATATTAGGTGGTGTTATTATATGAACTGACAAATACTTAAATAGTAAGTTTATAATTTGCAGGTATATTACAAGAGAGAAAGAGAGAAAACAATGGACCATGCTTTTTAGCAAAAAACCCACAATTCACAAATACAACCAGTTACAATTTTCAAGAAAATCAAGAAGAACACGAAGAACGGCTCTGCCAAATAGCATAATGAATAGAATGAAAAGTAACAGGAAGGAATCTTTGAGAAATTTTATCAGACATCGTAAATGCATTCCAAGTTCCTATCAAACTATCTCAATTAAGTATCATATCTCAAGAAAAATCTGCAAATATTTTAATAACCTGCAAGGGAAATGTCAACAGAAAACCATTTGGCATATATGCTTAACAACCTTTTTCAAAAAATTGAGTTCGAACTTTTGTCCTGCGGCCGTTGATCCATCGCATCCAGTAAATTAAATCTAACATGATTTTCCTTTTTTAGTTGACTCGTTTAATAAACATTCAAAAACAAAATCAGAAGCACTTGGATTAAGAGATTATAATTGCTAGGCCTTTGAAAAGAAAAACATAAAGAACTATCTTACTAGCAAAGTAACTATAATAATACATTGAAAATATTTTGACCAGGACTGCTGGATACAGAACAGTGGAGACATTAATTCAACTAAGAAGATAATCCGTCAATTAAACCATTCTTTATCTATTTGTAGCATTTATTCAACTAAGAACAAAATTATCTCTTAGCCAACAAATATTATTTAACAAATATTATTTCTACATGTCATTAAGATTGCACAATTAATGACGGTAACTAAGAAGCAACTACATAAAACTATTCAACAATACAACAACACGCATAATCACTTTTAAATCACAACTAGAGGCAACCATATAAAACTATTCAACAACACAAGTAGAATTCCAAATATATATGTATGAGACTATGATCAAGTATTTATACTCACATTAGATTTCCCATTTGACCCATCCGGTTCATATGTTGATTTGTCTCTCGCCGATATGCAAAATTCTGGAATGTTAAGAGTTATCCCGGGATTAGCTGCCTTTATTTGTGATAGTACCATGGATGCCACATCTTGTGCAACTTCTTCTTTCATATTTGCTCTGATGTTTGGAATCAATTGTGCTGTGACACTTTGCAAGAACTCCTCTGGAAGTGTGTAGCTTGACTTTGCACCCTTATTACTTTTCTTCAATTTAGATTTGTTCATACCTCGACCACGAAGGCGTAAACGCCCGTTCAATTCAGGTTTCTTAACCACAAGATAGTAAGGATCTTCTTTAGTTTCCTTTTCTCCACATTCTTGCTGAGATTGTAACTCACTCATTTGCTTCTATTTATACATCAATCAGAATGTAAAAACAATTATGAGTTGTAAGGTAAAAGAAAGGAAATGTTAATTTAAATCGATATAAATATTATTAACTCACAATATTTTCAGAAGCCTTGTCATTTTTTGTCAAGTACTGATTCCCAGGAGTTCTCAGCCTTGATTCCTTATACACTGTTGCTTGAGATGGGTCTTGATTGTTGGGATCATCTTGTTTCTATAAACATATATAAAATATAATATCTAAAGTGAATAATTATGCACTTCAATAACCTGAATTTAAAAGAAATTAGTAAACCTAAATAACATTACCAATACATGACGCAATAATGCAAATGATGTGGGACCCAAAGTGTGTGGGTCATCATACTGCATACGATTGCTTCTATTGATGTCACTTGCCTCCTACATATTTAATAAAAAGGATTTATAATAATCTGAAATATGGTGCAATATATAAAAAGGCTTTATAATAATCGGTACTACGGTAAATATGTTAGTCTAAAATGAATTGTATAATTACCTCAACCTCATCAACGTTCCAGTAATTCACAAGGTCTTTGAATATATTCTCGGGAATAGTTTTTGGGCGATTTTTCCACCTTTCCTCATCAGTTGTGTATGCATAATAATGGGCTTTCTTCATTCTTGATTTATGAACACGCCACAAGTCATTAATGGTAGAAAAAACCCACTTCTGTCCTTCCATTGGAACCATATACTTCTCCTTCACATGTTTAATATATTGAAAGTTAAAATAATGTTTGCACACATCATTTTAAATAAAAACTGATAAACTGCATAAGTGTGAAATCAACGTACCATGACGTAATCCCAGATGTTGTCTAAATTATGTTGTGGTACATTATGCCATGTGACATAATTCAAAGGTGTGAGTTCTGAATCTCTAGCCACCGTACCCAAGAAGCGACTAAATTCACGAACAAGATCAGGAGTAGGCCCGATCGGTTGGCCTACTTCATTCAAAATAATTATCGGTCGTTCTTCAATCTTACGATTATGCACTTCTGCCATAACCGTTGGTCCTCTAGTCTTCTTTTCTCCAACAACTACTAGTGTTTAAAACAACATTAACATATTAAATCAATTCATAGATGGAATAAAAAATAAAAATAAAACATAATTACCTTTCTTTGAAGTGGTTGTTCCAGAAATTTCTTTTTCAATCGGCACCTCATTTTGTATATCCATTGAATTTTCCAAAGAGTCTATTTCATCATCATGATCTTCACTAGATACAGGCATTCGAGAGTTTCTTACTTGCCTCATTGATGATGCACTTACTTGTTCTTTACCACCAATGAAGTTATTTTCATGAATATCTTCACTTTCTTTCTCACTGGATGAATCTTCATTTTCTAAAAGAAATACTGGGTTATCCTTCTTCTTTAATATCTCTTGCCTTTTCCTCATGTTACAGTACATGGCCATGGATCCGGGTGCAATGTGTTGCGCCTTCTTATTTGAAACAAGCTTTTTACACTGTTGGCTTGTACCTTGATTGCAACTCCCTTTTTCTTTACTTTTCTGAGACTGAAATGCAGTTACTTTTTTATGTCTTTTATGTTCTCCCAGAACTCCTGCCAGCTCTCTCTGTGAATACACCTTCACAGAATCTTCACTAGTCTTTGATAGGCCAAATGATTTCTTCCCTTCGTTGTTACTTCGGTCCTTTCCCTTCTTTGAAACCTATGAAAATAACACACACAAACATTAATATATACATCTATATTACACACAAATTGAACCAGAAGACACCTCAAGCCAGTTAGTTGTGCAAGTCCAATTAGCAGTCCACTGCATCAGAGACAAAAAAAACATGATTTTGGACCAGCTGAGGCCCGTCCTCAGGCCCAAGATCAACCAGCATCTAGTCAAGTGAAAGCTTCCATTCCTGGTCTCTTTATATATATATATATATATTGCACATTACATATACAGGATAATTAGCAAGAAATTAACAGACCTTTGGATAATCACATTCTTCATTCTCATTATCACTTGGCATGTGCTCTTCGTCTACTAGTCCATAAGGTGCACTTGTAATTCGTTTTGTAGTCGCTCTCTGGTTTGATAGAGTGATTCCCTTATTTGCTAGAGTGGTAAACCCCGCTGCACGCATTCTTTCTTTATTTAAATCCAACTTCTTTAATCTTTGTTTTTCATATTCCGTAAGTTCTCCAAGTCCATGAATCTGAGAGTTGTCTCTCTTTTTCCCCATCTGCACATGTATCATAAAGAAGGTCTACACTATACATTGAAAAATATTTATAAAGCTGGTGCAAAAGCATCTTAAGTAGCTCACACACATAGACTATATACATGGAAATAATATTTATAAAGCAGGTGCAAAAGCATCTTAAGTAGCTCATACACATAAACTCACCTGCATAAAACAATCATACTTCACTAAATCAATGCCTAAAACAATCAAACATCAAGAAATATTTAAGGATGTGTATATTTTCTTTAAAACGCACTAACATACTACTGGCCAAAAACAATCAACAAGCTAGTTTATATAAACTACACTTGATTTTTGAATGACAGACAAATAGAAAGCAAATTTATATTAAAAAGTAAACTATCTTTGGATGAAATAATTTGTCTCAACCTATTAGCCATCCACCATATTAGTAAAATCGTGTATATAAGCTCTCAGGTGACAATCACTTTAAGTAAGGTGACTATAACTTTAAGTAACGTTCCGAGCTTTAAGCAAATGAATAGGCTTCTTCCAGTAGCTTTCACCAACTTCATTGCTTCCATACACTTCATCTTTAGGTAAATTTTCAACTGCAAAATACCAATCTTTCTTGGTAGGGTCTTCTACATAAAATGCCTGATGTGCTTGGGATGCCAAAATGAATGGTTCTTCTTTCGAAATGAATTTTGATTGATTAACCCGAGTAAGCCCGTAGTCATCTCTTTCAGTATAAAACCAGATGCATCTAAACAAAACAAAACTAAACTTATCATTGTAATTGATCTCAATGATTTCTTGTATGGAGCCATAATAAGTAACATCTCCAACCACGGGATTCTTATCCCTGCTACTAGCAAAGCTAGGTGTCGATGCTGTTAATGTGACTCCGCTATTATCTGTCATGCAATTTGCATCTCGCTTCTTAGTGTGGAATTGGAAGCCATTGATGGCATACCCGGAATACCTTCTAGCTATATGAGCAGGTCCCACTGATAAGATTTTTATGTGATCATGAACTTGATAACCTTGTTGAATCTCGTTGTCAACTTTCTCCTTAAACCATGAGATGAAATCTCTGTTGTGGTTATGAAAGGCGTCCCACTTTCTTTTATTTCTGGTGGTAAGAGAAGCCTTATGTTCACTGTGACATAAAAACATATATTTATCAGTCTTGATCTAATCTAACTAAAAAGTGAATATTTTTATTGAAAGCATGAATGGTAAAAATAATTAAATGGTCTTACTTGATGTATCTCTCGATCTGTTCACTATCACAATTGAATAAGATATAACGTTGAACTTGATTCCATGTAGCAAGATCAATCCTAAAACCACAGAACTTCTTATTTGTTCTGCCTTTCCCTCTTAAAGGATAACCAATCCTAGGAAACATGGCTTGTAGTTCAGGAACATTATTCTCCTTTGTCATGTCTTTCTTAGATGCACGGTTCAAATATCTTGCGCAAAATGTTACACATTCATGTGTTAAGAAACCTTCTGCCATCGATCCCTCTGGCCGGGCTTTGTTTTTTACATGTGACTTCAACTTTCGAAGATATCTTTCAACAACATACATGCATCTTGAAGCAACTGGCCCGCCAAGTCTGACTTCTTCAACTAAGTGAATGGGCAAGTGAACCATTATGTCAAAGAACGCAGGGGGGAAGATCTTTTCAAACTCACACAAAGTCTCAGAAATTTCACATTGCAGATGGTCAAGATCATTAGGGTCTAACACTTTAGACCACAAAGACTTAAAAAAATAGCACAATCTGATTAGGGGAGCTGCCACATCCTTATTCAAAGTAGTTCGCACAGCAATCGGGAGTAAGTAGTGCATCATGAAATGTGCATCATGACTTTTATAACCAGAAATTTTCATGTCTCCAACCTGCACGCATCGTTTAACATTGGACGCATAACCTGTCGGTAATTTAGCATTTTTAATGACTTGACAGAATTTTTGCTTCTCATCCGCAGTCATGGTAAAGAGAGCATTTGGAAGTTTTACTTTCCCATCATCAGATTCCTTAGGTTGAAGTTCTGGCATAATACCAAGTTCTACCAAATCTTCACGTGCTTTCATATGATCTTTTGTCTTTCCTACAATGTTTAATAATGTACCGATAACATTATCAAACACGTTTTTCTCTATATGCATAACATCGAGGTTATGGCGACATTTATTACTATGCCAATAAGGCAAATCAAAAAGTTTGGAAAATTTTCTCCATGGGTTTTGATCTTCTTCCTTCCTTTTCTTGTTCTTTTTTTTCTTCTTTTTCCCAAAGTCATTTTTAAAATCAGACAATAATTGTAGAACTTCAGTCCCTGTTAATCGAACAGGTGCACTTCTACTCTCTGCCTTCCCATGAAATTGTCTTCTATTAAGTCGCCAAGCGTGGTCCTTATCTAACAATCTACGGTGACCCATATAGCAAATTTTACCACTATGTGGCAAGCTTGTGGAACAAGTTTCATAATGACAACATGGACAAGCCATCTTCCCTTGTGTACTCCATCCGGACAGCATTGCATAAGCTGGAAAATCGCTAATCGTGGAGTGCAAAGCTGCATGCATATTAAACATTTGGTTGGTTGATGCATCATAAGTTTGTAATCCGAATTCCCATAGATCATTCAAATCTTTAATTAACGGCTGCATGTATACATCAATCTCTTTTCCAGGGGACCAAGGACCTGGAATAATTAATGCAAGCATGAAAAACTCGGGCTTCATGTACATCCATGGTGGCAGATTGTAATTTATGAGTATAACTGGCCATGTACTATGTGAGATACTCATATTATTAAATGGATTAAATCCATCTGATGCCAACCCTAACCTCACATTGCGAGGATCTTTAGAAAAATTTGGATATAACAAATCAAAATCCTTCCATGCCTCACCATCAGCTGGATGCCTTAAGAGTCCATCAACGGGGCGTCCATTTGCATGCCACGTCATGTAACCAGCAGTCTGTGAACACATAAATAATCTCTGCAGCCTTCTCTTGATCGGAAAGTACCTCAAAATTTTTTCTGGAATTCGATGACACTTTTTGCCGCTATCATCCTTATTGTTTGATTTCCACCTTGGAGTTTTACACACGTGGCAGCATGATGCAGCTGCATACTCTTCCCAATACAACATGCAATCGTTGGGGCATGCATCAATTTTTGTATAATCAAGGCCCAAAGCATTAAGGACATTCTTTGCTTGGTGAAAAGATGTCGGCAACTTTGCTTCGGGTTGCATATCCCTTATAATATCCAACAAGTCTGAAAATGCTGCATTACTTAGCTTGTGATCACATTTAAAAAGAAATAACCGAATGGTGAAAGAAAGTTGTGAAAAGTTCTTGCAACCCGGATATAGTTCTTGTTGACCCTCTGTGACAAGCTTAAAAAATTTTTGTGCCTCTTCATTTGGTCCTGACCTAAATGTATCTTCCAATAGCCCGTCTATATCATCATTAAAACGTGATCCAGAGCTATGCTCGAACATTGAGCTTTCCAAGTTAGCCTTTGACTCAAAATCTCTCTCTGGCCTAGGAACAAAACCCTTACAGATTATATGATCTCTCACAACATTTCTATGCAGCCAATAACGGTACAAGCATTTGCTACATGGGCAACGTATTTGATCTCCTTGTGCTTCAGTTGCAAATGCTTTCTCAAGATAGTCATCAACTCCACTTTCGAATTCATCAGCCCATTTAGGAAAATCCCACCACTTGTTTTTTTCTTTATCCATGACCTAAAGATAATGAATTTTTAAAACTTCTAATCCCTAAATGAAAGC